AGCAGTTGAAGAATTCCGTCCATAGACTTCCATTATAAATCTGAAAATCTTAAAATTTTCTTTTAAAGTTTGAAGCTTCACTGAAGCAAAACTGTAAAAGTGAGCAAAAAGCTGAGTTAAACAGTAATAGCAGAAAGATACGGAAACATTTTAAAAGTTGAATGGTGTTTCTAGCTGAAAGTATGCTGAAGTAGTTAAAGGTCGAAGATGATAAAGTTTTATCTGAATTTTGCTGAAATCTAAGAATTCTACATGCATTTCAATGGGACAAAAAAAAACGCAGAAAAAGCAGAATATCGCAAAAACTACAAAAAATATCTTTACCAAAAGACATAGCACAATTCTCCTGAACAAGCTGAACGTTTTGATACCAAAATTGTTGAAATCGGTTGAAAACTGCGGGACTAGTTAGAGTCAGAAAAAATTTGAAGTGAACAACAATAAGTGGGAATGCATAAGCATTCCCACTTGATAAAGAGAAACAGAAAAACAATAAGTGGGAATGCATAAGCATTCCCACTTGATAAATATAAACAGAAAAACAATAAGTGGGAATGCATAAGCATTCCCACTTGACTACAAGTATGAATCTGGCTTATGCCAGGTTAACTGATAGGTATGCAGAGCACAAGTTTTTTTGAGGTGGATTATTTTCCAGCCCCCTCTGCACAGGAGGGTTAAGGAAGGCTTCTTGGAGCCCTGTGGGCTTCAATCTTATCAGTTCAAGCCATGTGCTGACTTAGCTCAGGGTTATGGTGATTGAAGTCAGAAAAAACCTGTTACAGCTTGTAACATTTAAGGAAAATTCAACTGCATTTGCCACTGTTCAACTCTGCAAGGGCAGCAGTAAGGCAAATTTTCAACAAATACTACAGCGCTAAACAAGCCCACATTCAAACATAAGAAATAAAAAAATGGGGGTTAGTTACATTTTAAGAAAGGAAGCTGCGGATTTTCTGTACCTGCTAACGAAATTTAAATCAGCGGTAATCTGTGAGACCATCTTTATAATCGGTAAAGCAGAAATGGACCCCAAAATATTATGATGACCCAAAACATTTCACCAAGGACTGGTGGAGAATATTAGAAATGGAAAATTCTTGTATCTTGTTAAAGCTCAGTCTCACAGCTGGAAGTAAGGAGTTTTTTTAAGCTCCTCACTGATGGCAATCCAGCCTAAAGGGGATACACCATCAATAGAAGGGTAGGGAGTCAAACTTTTCCTCAGCTTGAAAATACATTTTTGTTTTCTTTGGTTTTATTAGCAAAATAATGCTACTTTTCACTAAATCATAGTTTTTAACAACGTCTTGAAAATTAGATATTAGATAATTAGATTGTTAGACCAAAGCCAAACTTACTGTAGGTACTGTGATCGTCCACCAGAATGATCTCCTTCAACAGGTGTTTTGGTGTGTGGGTAATGATGCTGCATACTGCCCTCTTAATCACAGAGAGAGCCTCGTTTACATAGATCAGCACAACGCTGATGCTGGGAAGATCTTTGGGATAATTCCTCTTCAGACATCTGCATGGTGTGAGATGATCTTTAACTTTTCCACACACACACACACACACACACACACACACACACACACACACACACACACACACACACACACACACACACACACACACACACACACACACACAAAACTGTATAAACTATCAGGATTTTTTTGCAGCAACACTTACCTGGGATCTCTCATGTCGGGAAGTTTCCGATCGAGAGGAATGCGGTTGCTAAGGAAGGCATTGTATCCATAAATCTGAAAAAGAGCTTCAGCCTCCTTCTGTTCCTCTTCTGACAGATCATCGCCCCACTTTGTAAACAGGAAGGAGTTGGGATATAACTTGGACACCGGATTTTTTGGCTTTTCTTTTTTCTTATTTGGAGGGAGGACTTCATTGGAGATCTTTTGGCTGGGTTTGTCTATGAACTTTGCTTTTTTGGGAAATACAAAACAGAAGTAAATGTTACTCAGTTTTCTAGGAGGAGCAACGCAGCAAAAAATAGTTTTTCCTAGAATAAGTGCATTTTGTCTTGAATTGAGGAGGTAAGCGAGACACTTTGCCAATGGAACAAGACAATTAACATTTAAAATAAGAAAAAACTATTGTATTGTCTTATTCCGAGTGAATATTATCCAATTATCTTATTTTAAGAGAAAAAATCTTATTCCATTGGCAAATCATCTTACCTACTCAATTAAGTCTAAATACACTTAATCACTTAAATTAATAAATCTTTACTTATTATTTCTAGATTGTTTTTGCAGGGAATGTTTGATCTTTGCTCAAAATATGCCTAGAATATTAAAAGTCGAAAGAAAATTTCTTGATTGATCTGGAAATTGTTCTGGAAATGTTGTCAATTTTTGGATTGCTTAGATGGATGTGCAACTTTAAAATATATTTTTTTGGAGTTTCTACGGTACTAGTGGCTCATTTTTCTCACAGAAGGCTGACAGGAAAGAGGGCATGAGAGAAGGGGAGAGACATGCAGCAAAGGACCACAGGTCTGATTTGAACCTGGGTCGGCCACGTTGAGAACTAAGGCCTCCATACACTAACAACTGCGGCATCAAAGCACGCACCTGACATGCAACATTAACTTTTACATCAAAACAGCCTACATCAGTGTTTCCAAACCTTTTTGACTTATGTACCTCTTTGGGCATTTTGCATGACCATGAGTACCTCTCTTAGTCAAAGTATTGATAATTGTCCAAAAGTGGAACCTATAATAATTGATTATAAAATCAACTTTATTTTACTTATTCTTTTCATTTAAGCATTCAATTCTTATCATTTATTCTTTCCATCTTAAACAAAAAGTTCTTGGAAGTTAGTAAGGAATCAAAATAAATACAAATGAAATCATATTATAAACCTGTATTTATTAAACTGGAGCTCTGCAGAATCCCGTTATATTTAAACTTGATGAGTTGGGAACAAAATATTGTTACTGACATAATTACTTTTACTTTGTTTTCATCAAGACCCCTAAACTGCTTTGATGAACTCTGATTGCTCAGTGTGAAAAACAGCTAATACCAGGCTGATCTCTAGATCCAGTCTCTTCCTCTGCTTGGTTTTAGTGAACTCAAACATATAAGAAAAACCTACTTTTTGGTTGAAAAAAGTTACATTTTCAGTTGTGTTCTAACAAAACAGATCCCAACTCTATTTTATTAAATAAAATATTTTCCTGCACCCCTTGCGATGCACTGGCGGACCACTAAGGGAATCACTGGCCTACACTGTACACTTTGCACTGCTTGTGCATTTCCTTTTGTTGGTGTTATCCGCCATTCGTAACGTTCATGTTGCTGGTCTGGAAACAAGATGCTGCCCCTCCCTCACATTCATGGCACACAGTCTCCAGCATGAAGCAACATTTTAAGATATTTTAATGTAGTTAAACTAATCAGTTATCAAGATCCCAGTATCATAATACTCAGTCCACCTTGCTTTACAGCCTGCTCAGACGAGCATTGTCAACACAGTTCCTTTTATTCATTGGGCTATATTCCAAACCTAACCACTTCCTGAACTTCAGCCAGCTTATCTTTCATTACTTAAGAGGCAGATTAATCAAGGTGTGGATTCTAGTAAGTTACTGAGATCATACAAACCTGGATTATTGATTTTGTCTAGTAATGAAAGGCAGGAAACAAAGGAGCTGGCTGAAGTTCAGAAAGTTTTGGAATCTGACATATAGCCTATTTGTGAGACACTCAGAGAATCAGCCTCAGGAATGTTCTAACAGTTTGTACTGTTGGTTTTATATCACTTTTTAAAGGTTACAAATAAATAGCTAGGTTATAGAAGGACAATTTAACCAGAAATATCATTAGATGTTAATACTCATGGTATTTTGAAGATAACTGGACTGTAGTTGATGTTAGGTTGATTCGGATTTGTTTTTATCATTATGATGATAGTTTAATATACATAATTTGAAGTTGTATTAAGTGTGACTTATCAAAGTTTATTCTAACTTCTTGCCTACAGCTAAGTAAAGAAACTCAAAGATCTTTAAGCAATTTCAAAGGACAGATTTAGTTGTTTGCTTTGATTTATTTAGAAATCTGTTACTCACCCAGCTTGTTTAGGGTTTCTTCAATTCTGTCCAATTTTCTACTGATATCCTCTTGATCTATGATTCTTATTGGATCCAACTTTTTCACCCCAAGCTTTCCAGTAATGGAAATAAATATGTACATCAAAAATAAAAAAGCTCCAATAACACCGACTCTGAAATACACCTTCATAGTAGTTTCAGACTGGAAATCAGGTCAATGTCTTTCTGTTCTCTCTACCATGCAGAGACTAATCAACTAAACAAGCTTTAAAGCTCAGGTTGAACTGTAAAACATGTCTTATCTGAAAGATAACTTTTATAGACCTGTGCAAAATCATTGGTTATCTGATTTTTCTCAACCTAAGTGGACCAGAAACATAAATATAAATGGCCGTAAACAAAAAAAGTCCAGTAAGCTGAGCTATATATTAAGGGTTAATAATTAGTGCTTCCTAATGTTATGTTGTCAATGTTTTTCTTTATGAGTTTAGAATAAAACAAGGCAGTGTTTATCTTTTATGCACTTATAATTGTTCATATTACTAATAACATTGTAAAGTCACAAGTGCTAAATGGAGATACATTTATAAATCACACATACGGTAGTTGTATTTGATGGTCAGAAAAGGTGCCTTTTTTGTTTTCACAGCCTTAAAAATCAACCTTAAGTCCTTAGATTGGACTAACAAGGCTTGTTTAGTTTAATCTAAATCAGGGCTACAGATTCATTAAAGGAGGAAATATGCACATCATATTGCATAGTCAGTATGAAGTCTATAAATCATGTAATATATTATACAGTTCCATCAAAACAAAATTAGCGTGTTAAAGGAATATAATACTGTACCCAGATATTAAGATTACACATACGCACTTTCTGATGACGTGCCAAAGGTGCTAAATTGATGATCTACATGTAATATACATGTATCTATATATTGTTATAGTCATTACATTACATGAATTTTTATGGCGCAACTTTGTGAAAAAGGGGTGTACCTATCAGCAATCTATCAGCAATCCAGTGAATAGAGATCAGTGCTCTATGCCACCTTACATTAGAACAACAAACAAGACCCAATACAGTCTGCAGGTAATGAAAAATACATGCTGAGCAGAAGGCTTACATTTCTGCCTGAAAAATATTAATTTTTTTCCATGGCATAGTAAAATAAATAAAATAGGATTTATTTAGATGAGGCTTTAAAGTAGTATCAAACCTAGACTGTCTGCATTGCATATATAATTCACAGGTTCATTAATTCTTACCTTAAACGGCATGTCATTATTATGAGGAGCATACTGTATCTTTCTAATTCAGAAATAAGGGCTTGAAAACAGTCTGTTTAGTATTTACACAGCCTGTATGAAGAGTTCCAGTCTGGCTTCCGACCACTCTTTAGCACTGAAACAGCACTCATCTAAATCACTACTCCTCATGGCCTCCGATTCTGGATTACTCACCATCCTCATCCTCCTTGATCTGAGTGCAGCTTTTGATACCGTCTGTCACACCACCCTCCTCAGTAGGCTTTAATCGATTGGCTTCAGTTCAATTAACTTTATTTATCTAGCATCAATTCACAACATGTCATCCCAAGGCACTTTACAGTTCACCAGATTATATAGTCAAATTGATTCAAAGTTTTCTATCTAAGGAAAACCATGGCATTGACTCTCTGACTCAAAGGTATCCCTCACACTAAGCATGATTGAAGAAATCTCCAGCAGAACCAGGCTCACTGTGAGCGGCCATCTGCCGAGGCCGACTGGGGTTCAAGGAGACAGAAGCATTGATACAAAGGGCAACTGTAAAAGGTGACCCCATCCAGGAAACACACAACCAGGCAGAAAAGCTCCAAGCCAGCTTCCATGTCAAAGGGTGGAGAGAGCACATCCAGCCAGTTACAGTCAGAGAAACAGGACTACACTGAAAAATAGGCCGATCTCGAACATCTATAAACAAAGGTTTGATCACTAAGCATCATTAACGCTCTGTTACTTCCTACTTCTCTGGTTATACTCAGTTCATTCAACTGAAGACCTGCAAATCCATACCCTCCCCGTCAACTCAGGTGTGCCCCAGGGCTCTGTCCTGGGGCCCCTCCTCTTCATCATCGACCTCTTTCCCCTTGGCAGTATCGTCCGCCAATTTAACATGCATTTCCACTGCAATGCTGATGACACCCAGCTCTACCTCACCACAAAACCATTGTCTTCTCTTCTGCCCACCTCCCTCACAGATTGCATCTCTGACCTTGGTTCACCAAGTACTTCCTTCAATTAAACAGTAGTAAAAGTAAGGCTTTCCTTATTGGCACTAAATTCTTCTCTAAACTATTTCCAAAACCGATAGCCCCTCCATCTCACCTTCCCCCCAGGTGACCCCTGGTCACCCCAGAGTCTGGGTGTCATCCTTGATAGCACCCTATCCTTTTAATCCCATATCAATAACATTACCTTGTTTGCCTACTTCCACTTAAGAACCATCAACTGCCTCCGTCCCTCCACACTCCGAGTCTGCTGCCATACTTGTCCACAGCGTAGTCACGTCCTTACTGGATTATTTATTCTCTCCTCTTTGGCCTTCCTCAAAAATCACTCCATAAACTACAACTGGTCAAGAACTCAGCTGCCCACATTATAACAAGAACTTATTTCCACCACATCACCCCGGTTCTCCAACAGCTCTACTTGCAGTTCCGCATTCAATATAAAATTCCAATGGTGACATTCAAGGCCCTTCATCACCTTGCCCCCCCATATCTGTCAGGCCTCCTGCATGTTCCAACCCCCTCCCACCCTCTCAGATCCTCATCTGTTTTACACCTGCTCGTCCCTTCTGCTCATCTTGCCACCATGGGGAGTAGAGCTGCTGTGCCCCCCTCTCTACCACCCCTACCTAGAAACACGGACTCACTCCTCCATTTCAAATCGCCTATTCTCTTTAATATCAATTTCCCTGTTCCAGCCTGTGCATTTTTTTAAATGGTTTTTGTTTTGACTTTTTCTGCCTTTTCTATTTGTTCAGTTTTTACAGCACTAGCGGCTGTTTTTTGGACAATAGGCTGACAGGAAAGGGGGTATGAGAGAGAGGGAGAGACATGTAGCAAAGGACCACAGGTCAGATTTGAAGCCGGGTTGGCCGCGTTGAGGACAAAACGCCTCCATACATGGGTCATGTGCTCTAACGACACAAGACCAGCCTGCCATTGTTTTCATCCGTTGTATGGTGACCTTGAGTGTCCAGAAAGGCGCCTTTGAAATAAAATGTATAATTATTATCTGCCTTTTATAGACACTGAAACAAATACAATTATTTTATATAACTGATTTGTTTTAGTATGATCATTGTTTAAAAATTTTATACTACTGTGAAGCAGAAAAAACCCCACAAATACTCTGTAAGGATAGTCTTTTATTTATGTACAGAATACCACTAAAGAAAGACGAATTATTGAAGGAGATTTTCCTGCTTTAGTTTAATAGTTGACTGTCTTGGCAGGCTTTGTCTCGTCCAGTTCAGCTTCAAGGTAACGGAACCGGCGATGGCGACGAAGGATCTCAATTGCCTTTTGCTCTACAGAGGAAGCTGTGATACCCAGATCCTCCAGGCCAGGAAGTCCTGGATACTTCATGTCTGTTGTGTGAAACTTGGGAAAAAAAATCAAGTCACAAGATTAAAGTTAATCATTATGTAGGAAAAACTAAATCTAACTCAAAGAACCAGTCTGTTTTTCATGATCTTACCCTGTCGATTTTATCTGGAGTTGTCCATGGTTCAAAGGGATTCATTGCAAAAATCTTTGCTGCGAGGCTAAAAATAAGAAGCAGGCACTTCGTCATCACCCTTTAAACATAACAGTGTTTAGACAAGTTTTGTTTAAAATATGTCTAGGATAAAAGGGTAGAACGTCAACATAGAAAATTTTTTTTCTTTTAACGTCATCTTTTGTTGGGTCCAGATCCTGTGTGTCTAAAGGGGAAAGAGTGTCAAACTGGAATTGTGTGCTTACTGGTAGAGAGGGCGAGGCAGAGGGTAGGGCACGAAAGGCCTGTGGGCCACGGCGTAGATGTACTCCACCAGGTCATGAAGGACATAGCGGTTTGGGCTTCAGAAACACAAAGTCAGTTATTAATAGACTGAACCGATGGACCCAGTTTTTCCAAAGCAACAATGACAAACAGTGACATACTGACAGCCTGAGGCCAGAAATGTTTTCTGTTAAAAAAAAAAGAACTAAAACCAAAAAGGCTTCTTAATTAAAAATGTATTTATCTCTTAAAAAAAGAAAAAAAAAGAAAGAAGCTTTGTCTAATAATTTAGCCAAAATTTCAATGAAAGTAAAACCACAAACGTATATATATATATTTTAGACAAAGCTTTATTCTTTGCTGTTCACACCTCACATTTCCACATTTTGTCACATTAATTAATCTTGCAAAACAAATTCCCCGCCCCCTAATCTGAGCAGAGCAGTGCTCTCTGCATGTTTGCTGTGTAGAAAACAGCACTTCTCTTACGTTTCTTCTTTTGCTTTTCTATAACAAAAAAGGATTTGTGATGTGCGCCAGTGGTGGCGATCCAGGTGAATGTTTAGCCCAGCTGAGCTGTGGATCTCTGCGGGTTCGCTAGAGTTACCTTGGTTGTCTCTGCTGTTTCTCTGATAAATGCTCTCCTTCAGTCGAGGAATTTACAAAGAGCTTATTGGTGTGGTATTTAGCCACTTTACATACTTCTTATGAGATAACAGTAGGCATGGCGGGGCTAATAATGAGGTCACTTCTGATGCACGTTGGTTACTTTCAAGTTTTTAATATAATACTTATGTTAATGCAAAGTATTTGGAGAACCTTGGATTATTTTAGATCACAACCATCCAACCTCCCCAGTTGCTCTACAACCTACTAAAAACCCAATATTATTAATAAAAATAGTAATAATTCTGTGGTTGTAGTTTGACTAAATTGGGTAAAGTTCAGGATGTGTAAATAGAACATTAAATACTCTTAATGATCTGGGTAACAAAATACAGTTAGTCACTAATATTTTGGATGATTTAACAAGAATCTTTGATTTTCCCTCTGAAGGATAAAGTTGTGTGTGTGTGTTTTGTTTTTACAAAATTAAACACAGGGGTTCCTCTGCCTTAACTCTACAGTGCATACAGTACATAAAAATTATTTAAAGGCCTACTTATGAAATTGTGAACATATTTTAGATATTTTTTTTTTTTAAACTCTGACTCAGAGTAGATCATTAACTTACCCAACAAGGGCGTATGTCTTCCCGTTAGCGTCTGGGTCTCTGATGGCATTCACGATGGCTTT